GAATACAGTAAGAAACTGTATAATTATTAGATACTGCAGGTGAAGAACCACGCTAAAACATGGCCAAATAGGTACCACATACACTCTATGTAAGAACCACTTCCTGGTCTATTAAAGAACCATTACTTAGCCTTTTGGCAAGAATCAATGGTTTTTATTTCAATGCAAGTTCTATTATTTTGTACCATTAGTTAATGAAATTAATATACTCAACAAAAATAATATGAAGTTTCCAATTGGTCAATGAGGAAAGCAAAATCAAGTACAAACTAGAGTTATTGTTCAGTATTATTTATTATAAGGAAGTTTCCATGGAAACAAAAGTAGGGGAATAAGAAATTTGAAAACACAAGCAAAATGGCCCACACAGACAGTAATATTGGTACTCAGACACAATTGTTTTTACTAACCATGTGAAACAAAATGAAATAGCAGCACTGCTAAATCAGCACAAGCTTTATTGAATTTCTTGCTACAAGGACAGGTGAAAGGAGAGTTTAACCTACAAATGAGAGCTTTCAACCTTCCTATCATTATGTCAATAAAAATTTCCCTTTTGTCTTGCCTGTCACATTATTCCCCAATTGGTTCAAAGAAAGCATGTGAGCAGTTGAAAGTAGTTTGGAAATTACTACATGCTTTTGTGATGATATAGTTTTTAGCATTCTGTATAACTGTGTCTTTGATGCACTGCATACATTTGCAGAAAATGTCTCTTAATTCTGGTTTTCTTTATTATCTACTAAAGATGTTTCTTTTTTGGGTAGCTAACAAAAAAATTCCTAGCAGTGTGTAAATGAAGTAGAAAGGGGCATATTAATTTCCTTGCCTCAGTTCCAAACCACCAGTCTCTCATATGATCACAAATGGCTTTCGCAGCTGACATGGCACTGGACAACTTACGGGCAGCAATGATAGCAGCACCCCGCTTCTGGACAGTCTACAAAATTCATCAAAATAGTAGTATTAACAAAGACGATATAAAATGATTAGAATAAGAAAAGTCAAGTCCTCAACACCTACAAAAGGCCTATGGGTTAACCATAGTAGGTACTGGTCATGTATTTTAGCTGTAAAGGGGGGCCTGCCATTTTGAGCAATTTCAAATCGACCCCCCACTTCATCCTAGCTTTTTATAATATTTATTAACCCCCACATAAAGTTAACATACAGATTTGAAAGTGATCCCCACCTAATTGCTGTGGAAACTATGATTATTCTAGATACAAAGAATGCCAAAGGTCACCATATACCTTATCTTCAGTCATGTTTATAAAATCGGCATTTACTATTCACGGCTATTACATTCAATTTCAATTCACATTAGCTGATTACTGCTTTGTACTACTTTCATGAAATTTATTAATAAATGACCCCCCAGGCAATGCTTTCTGAAACCATTCAAGATTTTGAAAATGGCCTCCTGCAAAATGACCGGCCCTCTCTTGCAGGTAATAAAACAGGCCCCAAACATCCATGTGAGTACTGCACACATACAATTAATTTTGACTTTTAATATTAAACCATAAGGGTTAGTATGATTATACTATTATACAATATGTTACATGACTGATGCAAAGGTCAGTACAGTAACACCTCACAAACAAATGCCAGTAAAAGAAATGTTTTTTTTTTCTTACCTTGATAAAGTCTCCATTGAGCCAGTTGTCGTCCTTTAAGGTCGCTCTGATTGATGACTCCTGGCCATCAGGCAAAATGACTGTACCATGATTGACATCTGGGTACTGAGTTGATGAGTGGTTTCCCCAGATGATGACATTTTTCACTTTTTCCACACTAGTTCCAGCCTTTGATGCAATCTTCAATGTGACAGAAAAGATAATCTATTTTACCTGGTAAATGTCAACAATGGTTTCAATACAAGTACTGTCTTCTGAACTTGAACATGGCGTGTACAATCTGGTGGTTACATTTTGATGTGGGACTGGTGGTGTACTTGCTAAAGAAAGAACCACTACAGTATTACAAGTGGATTGCAAGAAACTTTTGAAGTCATTCTCAGTCATACACTTGTAATTCCAGTTGGTCATGTAGGATTCGCCCAGCAAGACAACATTAACATTGACTTTAATTTGGAATGTTATAAAAAAAACAGAGCTTCCATTTTATTTTCTTTTGAAGAAGAACAGAGTCATCACAGAATGGTATAACTGTGCTTGCACTTACCTGAGACTTAGCTCTGTTCATGTCCAGTCTTGTCAAACATGAAAAATTTGATGCTGGGATGGATGGTGCACTCCTTTGTGTGATCATGCAGTTAGTATTGGCAGGATTACCAACAACTAGGACCTGTAAATCATCAAAACATAAAACACTTAAACTGGTGGTAATCATAACATTAAATTAATGTGTGCGTTCAAGTTTTCTTAGTTGCAGGTTAGCTTTTTTACCATCAAGCATTAGTCATTTCAAAATAGGGAAATCATGAATTTTTTTTTACAGAGTAAACATGCTTTCTTTGCTCTTCGGGAAGACCAGCTTCAAATTTTAACATGTCTCACTTTTCCTCAAGTATGGTTGATAAAAATGTGAAGTACATCGTGAAAAGTTTTATTTTGTTAAAAAATAGGAACTCTTGCAGAATACCTGGCACTCGTGTTCTGTTATTAAATCTAAATGAGTAAAATGAGTACTCTTGCAGTCCCACACTGCTGCAATCTCTGAAAAGTGAATATTAAGTGGGCATGCAACTAGTGCTCTCTAAGTCCCGCACTCCCGCAGTCAATGTCAGAATTTATTATGCAAATCATATGACTGGGGAAATGTGAAAGTAGTTTTTTAAGTTAGATATTTGGTTACTGGGTATTCTGCAATCTAGCCAAAAGATAACAGCTTGAAGTGAAAAAACAATCATCATTGATAGAAGCAAAAGAATCGTATTAGGTTTTTGCGAAAAAAGGATGTCCGTGAACCAGAAAAAATCTTTTGCCATTCTGTAAAACTGTTCATCTTCATAATTTCAGTCCGTATAGTTTATGATCAGTTCATCATGTTTTAATCTTATCTTGCCCGGCAAGTGAGAGGGTCATGCCAACAAACTCCTGTGTACATTATATCAGATGTAGATAAAGCATGACATGTATTACTACTAGTAATAGTTAATTGACACTACAGCTGCCCCCGCTCTGTGTATTGTCGGTCAATAGCATTCTTGCTCGTTGTGTAGCCCTTTGAAATATACAGATTCATAATAAAGATTTTCAGAACTGAATGTAAAAAGTGAAAGAGAAATAGCGAAAAATTCAACTTCTAATGAAATCTTTCTTATGGTTTAGAATAAACTATTGTCGGAAACTGAGAATGTTTTGATCAAAGCTGTGTAAATCGAACTGAAACTGTGCATGGAACCTTACGTTTCCTGTATTTATCTCACCTATTGTATGGAATATTTGTTTGCCGGAAAGTAAGCGTAAGAAATAAAATGTCACAAAATCTACCCAAGCAGTCCTTTCAAGATTTTCTGTCTTTATGTCATCCTAATTATTTCGTACATGCGGGCGCAAACAACAGAAACGTAATCATTACCTACCGATTCCTCGCGGCCCCTGTTCAAGCAAATCGAGATTTTTTCTGGCACACTGACTGTATATTTCAACTGTAAGTACTTTCCTTAAAAAACACGCGAGTTACTAGAGTGCCTCCTTGGGATTTCGCCCTTCGCCTTCTGGACGAAATCCCCGCGGGGGCAATAATAAGCATAATCACTGATATGCGGGTAAAATTGTTTTTTTCAAATGTACTTCTTTCCGGAATATTTTCGTGCATGTGAAAAGTGAAACTACAAATACATAAATAAATAGACTCAAATGCCAACCAAATTCCTTACAGTACCAATGTTACCAGGTGTTTACTTGTCTCTTTCTGCGAAATTTTAGCTCGATTTGACTGAAATATTCACCATTAAGAAAGGTTTAACAGAATGGTCAGCTCAGCGGTAAAACACCTCCAAAATTTATATTCATTTGCCAAACTTTTAACACATTGCATCCTCCTGCTGGAACCAAAAATACTACCTACTTGCATCTTACGTAAAAGTACTCACCACAAGGTGTGCGACTGCCATTTACATAATTATATATGATGTAAGTAGTGCGAGATAAATTATTCAAAATGGTGTAGAAAATACAGACAAACGATAAAAAGTGCTTGCTGAAAAGGTCACCCTTGAGTACTCCAGGATACCTGAGTACCAAAGGAATCGCAAGATTATGTGTTGCATTCTACTTAACATTGAATGCAAAACATGGGGGATTACAGAAATAATTCTGAACCTAATCATAAGGTTGAGAGTTATTACTGGGCTATGCTGCCTATGGCAGGCCAGTCGGTTTTCGGTCATCTGTGTAGAAAAACTAACACCCGGAGGAAGGAAGACACGAGGTCTGGGACTGAGAAACGATGTTCTCACATATTATTTCACACGATTTTCCCTTGCATGAATAGTAATATTTTTGTACCTTGCCCACATAGTGCATTTGCATTGTGTTTCATTCAGTCACTTTAATACCCAAGGATTGTGAATAATGTTTTGATTTGGATATTGCTCAAGGCTGGCACAAAAATTCGAAGGAGTTATAAAAAAGGATAATTATTTTCTGATTGCTGTAGAGATGTTCACCAAGTACTTCTTTGCCCATAACAGAAGAGACCATGCACTTATGATTCCTGTGTACCTTGCTGAGATGTCATCCCTAAATGAAGGAGATCCAGAAATCCACAAAGAGCTCATCCTAGGAAATTGGTTAGTGAACAAGAATGCTCAAGTACCGTTCTGCGCAGGAGCCAACAATGCACTCAAACATGAGGACTGTTCCATGAAAGCCTCTGGAGGATTGGCTGGCATCACCCTAAATAAAACCGCTCTGACAAAATTCTTTTCTGATAGCTTCAGAGCACAGTTAACAGCCACTATTGAAAGGTTCATGAATCCATTCTCTGATGCACATACTGACCTGTTCAACCTCGTAAACAAGGCTGTTATGCCAGAAACAGTAAATAAAGATTTGGGTAAACAAAGTGAAATTGGCCAGAGACTGTTCGACTGTTTTCTGAAAGAACGAGTCCAGTCTGGCAAAGTTAATCTTTGGTCAACCATGAAGAAGAGAAAACTCCTAACATCGAAAACCACTGCAAAGGCCGTGAAGGTGACTGCACCAGACAAGATTGTGGAGCTTCAAGAGGATAGGTCCCTTTTCGCAAGTATGATGATGGTGTGCAAGAGCAGGCCACAAATCAATATCAAGGAGACTGTAGGCCAATACGAATTTTCCATAGTCAGCTGAATTTTAGATAGATCATTGTTTGCTGCTGATGGCGCTCACTGTTTATCCAAGAGTAATCTAATGAGCATTCTAGAGAAGGTGAACGACAACAGAAACAACAGGAGAGTAGCTGGTCCAAACAAAGATCAAGTGAAAGTTGCTATTGTAGATGGGATGGCAAAAGTCCACTCACTTGGCAAGCCCGAGTGGATCAGAAATTGTGCACAGCTAGCTGACCACTTCAGCAACTTTGTTATGCAGAGGTACACTGGAAGTAATGAAGTGGGATTAATTTTTGACAGATATAATTTACTGTGGGGGTTATAGGAAGCACTCAAGGTCGGTTGGTCGGTTGGTTGGTTGATTGGTGTAAACTTTCATTGTATGCAAATCAGCCTTGTGATGAGGAGGCGGTTTATTTCAAGCGGTAACTTCAATGGAGCACCATTTTGGTTTTGTCACATTACATGCTCAGCCATGCGCATGTTACTAGAATTTTCCAATTAAAACCTGTGTTAGTCCAGAAAAACCTCGTCAAACTTTGTTATGCATTTGAAAATGAAAAATTATTTGAAAACAGTAACATATAAATAGACCATACAAAGATATCCAAAACAATCATATCTGAATTTTCCAGTGACATTTTCTATTAGTTGTTTCTCTTTTGTTTTGAGCTGTTCAGCAGCTGTCGAGCTTCCCTCTGACACTGATACATCACCAACATCAACTTTGCATGAGTGGAAAATCAGGACTTTGAAAACTGGCCGCTTAATACAGAGTGGCTGCTTAATGCAGGGCTGTCGTATACAGGTTCAACCATTATCTGGAATTGTGTGAGAAAACTCTGTTTGACACCGGAGGAGGGCAACACCATCGTATTATTGACAGAGCTGAAACCAACTGTTCAAACTCTTGGGCCAGATAAGATAGCAACACTTCCAGCATTCCACACCCTAAGCAGAGCCAACAACAAAGGAAGACAGGGAAAGCTTCTCTGCTTGAAGATATTTGCAGAAGTGGATTCATCCATTATCAAGTGCTGCCCTTGCAGAACTTGGGCAAGCTGCTCATCCAAATGAAGAAATTGTTGCAGCCATTGAGAAGTTTGTCTGTCTGCTATACCAACCAAGAACAAAACTTACGACTGTTAATTAAAAAGAGCTATGATGTAGCCTTTTCAAGAAAAGACAAGCACAATCAGACAGGTTGCCACCAACACAGGCAGCATTGCACCAGGCAATCCTGAGAGCTTGCGCCCGCAAGTACGAAATGGTTAGGATGACGTAAAGACAGAAAATTCCGAAGGGACTGCTCAGGTAGATTTTGTGACATTTATTGTGCAGTCATACTTTGATACTCTTTTGCGTTACGCAGTGACATTCTGTAGAGCAGTTGTTTTTAAAGTTATGGGCCAAAAGACACTCGTTAAGCTCAGATGAGGTTATAAGGTGCGTTTAACTGTGTATATATAAACACTTGGAGGTTTGCCAGACCCGAGTTCACAAATCTTTGATTTATATTGGAAACCTTGCCAGACACTCTTTCTCTCTCTTTGACCAGAATAAGACTCAGCCCCAAACAAGGAAGACGAGTGAACAACGGCTAGCATATCACTAGCAGATTGATGGACAATTACATGAATTCGCCGCCAATCAAATTCTGTGCTGACTTTTTCCCTGCTCACAGATGTCCTTGCGTTATAAAGTTTCAAATAAGACTGGAATGCGCGAGCGTGAATCGATCAAATGTCCTTTTAATTTCTAGGGCTTACTTTCCAGCAAATAAAATGAACTGAATATAAAAAGTGAAAGAGAAATAGCGAAAAATTCAACTTCCAATTAAATCTTTTCGTATGGTTTAGAATAAACTGTTCTCGAAACTGAGAATGTTTTGATCAAAGCTGTGTAAATCGAGCTGAAACTGTGCATGGGACCTTGCGTTTCCTGTATTTATCTCACCTATTGTATGGAATATGTGTGAAAATCTTCATTATGAATTGGTATATTTCAAAGAGCTACACAACCAGCAAGAATACTATTGACCGACAATATACAGAACGGGGGCAGCTGTAGTGTCAACTAATTACTAGTATGGAAATAATGGCAAGCTGTGGAGTATCATTTCCATGCTGGGATATACACATCACATTTTTGACCCTATATGTACATGTAAATCCCGTCTGAGCAAGTTACTAAGTTGCCACCAAAACTTTTCACGTTATTTAGGGTCCCCTTAACACATTTTAGACTAGTGGCTTCCTTTCTTCACGAAATTCCCATGGCATTACACATGCTCTCGGACTATCTACAATAAACAAAAAGAACTGAGAAAAAGAACTGTGAAACTGATCCGCAGGTTAATGAGGGCTTCAAGTACACATCACAAAGTGACTGATCTTGTTGGTGGAATGTAATGACAAGTGTCCATTTTATTAAATACAGGTCTGTAACAATAGGAATGACCACTACATCCAATTCTTCCATTGTGGGTGTCCGCATGTGCTTAACAAAGGTGTCAGCTTAATACAGTATCTGCTTGATACAGGTTTCACTGTATGCGAAACCTTTTACAAAGTAAGTCAAATCTCCCCCTTTTTTAAGTCTTCCTGTCCTTGACTATAAAGGTCTCTTTTAACACCAGCACTGACAACAACTGACACTATTTAATTCCCAAATGATCATTTTGATAATAGAATCTATTGGCTTGACTGTAACACCCTTACAATTCTCATAAACTGTTGATGTGGAAGGTGTTGAGAGATGCCCTCAAAATATTTTGCTCTGCAAAAATCTAAAACAATATTATAACACTTTGACTCAATAATAATATTGAGTCTTGAAGAATAATTTATAATATTTCAGATTTCGCATAGCAAAATATAATGATTTGAAATATTATTTCAAATCGTTATAACTACAGAGAAGGAAAATAGTCTATTACTTCAGTAAAAGTGAACTATCTACATGTACAAAAGAACTAAAAGAACTGGACTAACAGCAACTTCCTATTTGGGAGTTGAGACCAGGTAAAAATATTTACATTAATTTAAACATACCTTAACAGTCTTTTTAGCCTTCTCATCCAGAGCTTTTCCTTGAACAACAAAAATCTTGGCATTGGCTTTAAGTAGGTCCTTTCTCTCCATACCTTGTTTTCGTGGCATAGCCCCAACCAAGATTGCAGCATCAATGTCTTTAAAAGCTACGTTTGGGTCAGCAGTTGGAATTACCTCTAAAAGAAAAAAATAAAACAACTGATAGAACAGGATGCCAAAATAGCTGGAGAAAGCCACCAACATAACTTCAAAATGTAGTTAATTGCAATACTGTCAATAATTTTTGTATCCTGTAAAAAAGAATTTTAGAATTTGTAAAAATGATAACATGTCCTTTTTCATAGACCTTTATGTATATAGCACGGTTACCCAGCAAACCCAATAACAGTGAGGGTGGCTGCTATAGCAACCATATCTCCTTGCTGCTTCGTAAAGTTTTCCCACATGTCCTGCCTGTACAAAAGGGGTCTTCTATTGAACAATTTAACAAAGCTCTTAAAAATAATTAATGAAACGATCATATACATATAGTCGTGGTCAAAGCATCTCAGTGAGTTTATGACTGGTGGGAACAGCTTTGTTAATAATGATTTATTTTATTAATTTTAATCAGATATAGTATGGACCAAGGGGGCACACAAGTTCTTTAGCTTGCTGCCTCCCTTCAATACAAACTCTAATTATAGTACCAGGTCAAAAAAGAAATTTCATGTACCTAGATACATTACCATCAAGTACACAAACTCATGATCATTTATTATCCATCCATCATGCCTATAGGCACGATCGATCCCTAAATTTTAGCTCAGCAGGTAGGGGACCATTGCTGACTGGTGGCAAAAATATGTGAGGCATACTCTCCTAAAGGGAGTAAGAGAGGGAGGGAGGGAGGGGGGGGGGTGGGTTGGGTGAGGGACATGGCCCTGCTCTTGCTAAGAAAGTGTTAGAAGCTGAGTTCTCTGAAACATCATTTCCTCATTTTAACACCCATTTTACACAAATTAGCCCAAGGAATCTTTACAGACAAAAATTTAAAATCATCAGGTGTTTCAATAACTATATTGAAGTAAGCCAGCAGGTTTGAATAGAATAACTGCCTGTAGCTGAATCTATAGCCGTTGGTCCCCTCCTTCTAGGGAGGTCGGGGGGCATGCTCTGCAAGAACATTTTGGAATTTCAAAGCCCTAAAATGCGATTCCAATTTTCTGGGGACTAAATTGAGTACAAAATAGTGTGTTTTTCATTCAAGAAAATATAGCTTTCATTCAGGTTTCATAGCCACACAAATTTTATCAATAATTCTTACAAGCAATGAACAAATTAATGTCAATATTTGAAATTGAGTACATTTGCACATAAACAATTTTGTGTAAACCTATGAAGAAACATGAGAAAAATTGACTGAAATACAGCATTTGAAAAAACTGAAGCACAACATAAAACCAGAGGTCCTTGAAAACACATCATAATTAAGCTAACATTTTCATTCAGATTTTATGATATTTTTTTTGTTTAAGACATTATTAAAACTAGTTGCTTCTTTCGGGGAAAAGTAGCCGATTGCTCTGAGCAAAGTAGCTCATTATTGAAACCCCTGAAAGTTTGATTCCAATTTCCAGTGATACTTATGGGGTGGCCTACCTGAGGAGCAAAAGAAACCAGCCACTGTAGACAAAAAATTCGATAAAAAATGACAGCGAATGGAACCTTTGACCTCTCAAAAGTTTTCTGCAATGTATTTTTGTGAAAACAATCCCCTTGAAAAGACAGGGTTGTGTTTGTTTTCTTCTCTGTAATGGTGGCTGTTAGTTTTGAAGTTAGCTTTTCCAGAGAAATTGACAACCTTGGGAACTACGAAGCCTGCCAAACACAATTAATAATCGTAAATTTCATGATAGCCAGGGCTAAAAGTGAAGCTCTCGTCAATATACTTACGATTTACCCAAAAACAAAATAGTGTAATGCTAAACAGTGATTGCAACAAGAACAGCAAAGAAAAATCAATAGGTCTAATTAGCAAAAACCAACTTTACACGTGCAGCACACTTTGTTGTACATTTTTTTGCCGTTGTTGTGGCAATATGAAACTTCCTACAGTAGTCACAAATTTTACGGAGAAATAGTCAAATGTGCTCACAAAAAATTTTGTTGCTTAAATTCAGGTTCCCTTTTTATTCACTGCTGCTCTTTTTCACCTTGCTGGCCACTAGCATTTCTCCTTTTCTCACCACCGCTACAAAATGTTCATATTATTCTTCCAACAAAATTCATCTCCTTTACTTTTTACCTCTCACTCTAGTTCTCTGTCGCTCTTTTTCTCGTTGAGCTTTGCTAGCCTGTTGCCTACTTTCTTGTTTTCTCTTTCTCTATATTCCAAATTTTGTGGACATGACAATAAATATTAATCTAGGCTTAACCCTTTCAACCCTAAGATCAAAATTTGAATTCTCATTTGTTGCCCCTATTCATTTCCTACAGAAGTAGAGGGGAGAAGAGGATAAAATTTATCTTGTGTGATCATGTCTGTAATTCTTATGACCACTCCGTTTACCAAGCATTGATAAATACAACGAGAAATTATGATGCTGATCACTCTTAGGGCTTAAAGGGTCAATACTTTATATTTCTCTTTAATTGTCTCTGCAGGTGCAGAGTGGCAGGTGGCCATGCAGGTGGCCATTGCAGGTGGCCATGCAATTTCCTGCTAAAAAAAACATGAAATGCATTTGGGTTGCCATACCTGTTGAAGCTATTTTACATTGGTATGCCTGTGATGCCGACAGAAGGGCGTATGGTCACGTGACTACATCACTACCAAAATTTCTTGGATAGATAGATAACCAAATTTTTTTAGCTATGGGGTTCTATTTGCCTTGCCCAAATTATTGCCAACGAGCAAGCCGAGTGAAGACGGTCAGCTTGCGAGGCGGCCAGCTTAATGCCACGCAAAGTATTGCACCAGGCGAAAAATTATCGATCGTGCTGTAAAAAAGTGTAATGTAAGTGTAATGTAAGGTGTAGATT